AGCGCCCCGCCCCGGGTGCACTCGCACAAGCAAGGCCGAAGGGCGGGCCGAGCGCGCGGCTCCGCCCCCGGAGGCTCGGGGCGCCTGGCGGGCCTTCCGGGGGCCTTAGCTCCGCCTCCGCCCCGCCCCATCCTCCCCCTCCTTTCCTCCTCCCGCTCTTCGTGGCTTCTCCTCCGCTTTCTCTCTCCTTCCTCCTGCTCCCTCCCCTTCCTGCTGAGAGCGTGGCAGCAAGGCCACTGGCCTTCACCGCGGCTGCTTTTTCCCTTCTGTCGCCTCGAACCCACTCCCGCCCAACGACAGATCTGTGGGCCCTGCAAGCTTCCCTACGAGCAGACTCTTAGAAAAGCTTTGCTTTTTCTCTTCCGGAATTTGTCCGGTTACCTAAGTTACTGCTACCGTTTCATTGGAGATTGCAGCGGAGCCTCCATGGGGTGGGGTGGGATGGCAGTCAGAACCCGACAGGACTGAGCTTTTTAGGGACCTGGTCTACCTATTTACAGGGGAAAGGAGTTTGTGTTAGCCACGTGGGGGGTTGTCCAGGGAAAAGAAAGAAAAGGGAGGGGAGGATTGGACTGTGCTCAGTTCTTCCAGGCACATTCAATGATTTGATTCCCAGCCTTCTGACCTGCAGGAAAAAAAAGTAGAGGAGTTTACTTCTGTAGGGTCGTTAACAATTTATGCCCCTGTGGTGAGGAGATAAAGAACGGCTTTGTCTGCCTTGACCAGACCAAATAGAGCGCAGATAAAGTCAACCTGCATCCGAGTCCTGTTTACATACGTATGTGAAATTGTAAACAGTTATTACAGTAATCCTCGACGCCTTTTGCTAGGGATCTTTTTTTTTCAGAATTATTTTAAATAGCGCTGAGGAGGCGCAGTCTGGATGCGTTGTAAGCCATTTCAGCAGAATGAGGTGCTTTAATGCCTGGCGCCTGCCAAACTGAGGAGTTGCCTGTAGAGAGTGTTCCTTCTGAAAGAAGAAAACCAAAGGGAGATTGATTTTGTAACGTATGGTTAACAGTCGGATTAATAGGTTCTGCCTTAAAAGTGTTCTGGCTTCTTTGCACTGCTTTCAGTTTTTAATTTTTCTATTTAGAAGTAGACATTTTTCAAATTTTCATAAGCTTTTAAAAATGTCGGTTTCCCCAAAGGGTGTGACCATTTTTTTTTCCACATCGAAAAGCAGATGTTGCATGTCCGAAGTCTGCCAGTCTACACCCTTTGACTACTACTAGCACAGATAAGAACCCACCATTGGTAGTGTGGACAGTTGAAGTCTTGCTCCATGATTTGAAGTAGTAAAACGAATAAACTCCGAAGCAGTGTGCCTTTCTTTTTTCTTGAAAGGAACAAGTATTTAACATTTTTATTGAGTGCCAAAACTGATAGTACATGAGTTTTTCTCCCTCTTAAAAAAATAGTTTTTACTCTAAAACTTACATGGCAGTAAGTTAGAAACCTTAGAAAAGGAAAAGTTTTACCCCACTCTAAAAACAACCGCCATGGCATCTTTTTTTTATAGCATTGTAATCACAGTGTACATATTACTTTGGATTCTGCTGTTTCCACCTATATCACCCCATGAATTTTTCTGGGTTGCCACATAGTCTTCTTACTTGAACTTTTTCGTGGCTGTGTAACTTATCCATGGTATTTGAAAGGCCCCAAATCGTTCGATGAACTGAGGAAAAGGAGGGTATTGTTGGTAATGGAAATTTCACCCATTAGCTCTTTTTACCCTGTTATATACATTTTTTTAAAGCAAAAAATAAAAAACTATCAAAGTTGAATTGGATTTGTTTTTCATGTGTAGGTCAGGCATGAAAAAATACCATGTGTAATGCTTTTAATCATTAATAGTTACTTTCTTAGGCTTTATACTTTTCCAAAGTTATTCAGGTTTCTCATTTGAATCTTAGGTGATAACTACATGTACTAGGAAATGGTTTATGATCTTTCACAATGTTCTTATCATTTTGCTAATGATAGGCCATATTTCTAGAACATTTTCTTTTTCTGAGGCTCTTTCAGCCACTCCCTACTGCTCACCCCCCCTTCCCTCAGCATGTGGTAACTATTTGTTCTTTTGCATTTAGGATCTAGCCAGTTTGGAAAATTTGAAATTTTAGAACATGTAGTGAATTTTTGTTAAAATTTAGTCTAGTCTTGCACTTACTAATAGCTCGGAGCCATAAATGTCTGTTTTCTGTCCCACTGATTTTATCAAATAGATCTTCAGTTGTCAGCATACATCTTAGTTCCTACTTAAAAACTTCACTCCTCAGTAGGATTTTAAGACCCTTTCATCAAAGTGTTAGGTGGGGTTTTATCTGTAGCTCATTTTTCTGCAGAATACTGTGAAGTGTATTTTTTAAATTTCTCTAAGGGGTGAAGGCCAGTTTTTCTCATAATAACTTACTTCGTTGTCATTTCTTGGTTTTGTCCAACCCTGAACACTGCAAAGTGAATTTTCTGTTTTACTAGAAGATTCCTTTCTGTTGGTGTTGTAACAGGCATGAGTTGTGAATTTGGTTGAGAGGATTTTTTTTTCCTAATAAGCATGTAACTATTCCCAGTATATCCACTTACAAGCTCTGACAATAAATCTTGTTGTGAAAAATTACTGTGACTGGAATTTTTTCATGAATATATACTGTTAAGTAGGTGAATATAGTATTTCACTGAAGACTTAGGAACACTTTACTGCATACCCCATAGTATACGCTACGTGCTCTTTTAAAATTAGTCAGACCTGTTACTTTGGTCAGCTTTGCATGGAAGGAATGAAGTTTGATTTACCAAAAAAAGAAGAAGAAGAAGAAGAAAAAAACCGTTGCTGTAGATTCTGACTCAAAGTGATCTCGTAGGGCAGAGTAGAACTATCCCATAGGGTTTCCAGGGCTGTCATTTTATGGAAGCACATTGCCACAGCTTTCTCCCTCAGATCTGCTGGTGGGTTTGAACCACCACCCTTACTAACAGCCGAGTACTTAACCATTACGCCACCATAGAAAAAGCATATAAAATGCAAACATTTTGTGCTACATCTGTTTCTGGTGTTTGTAGATAAGTTTTGTACCTAGTGTTACAAGAGTCAATACCACGTTTATGCAATGGTGTCTAGTGTACATAGGCTAAAACCTTGTTAATATTTTTAAATTGCCACTGCGTTCTTTTAAGACTAATACGTGCTTTACAAAGTCTTGGCTAGAGTCCGGCTGTCATGTATGTTTTGTTTTGCTATGAATCATAACTTCCTTTTACTCAGTGGCTCGCAGAGGTAGGCTTGGTGCTACTACAAGCTCTGGGCAAATTGAAAGTACCAGGAAGAAAGTGAGCCATTCGAGCGCGTGTCATTGTGAAGAAACAGACTTATTTTAGTTAGGATTCAGTATTCGAAGTAGATTTACGTTTGAAACAACTTCTTGAAATGAGATCTTTTTTATTGAAGAAAGTGCTTCTTTAATACTTTCTAGAAATAGTGGTCAGAGGGGTTTTTTTTTTTTTTTTTTTAAATATGTAAAAGTAGGAAGAAAGAGTGTTTCAAATCAATATCCTAAGTCTGTAATTTGAAAACATACATTTGAAACAGTAAAAATGTCCCTTGAATGTTGCTTTTTCACATCTTGTGGCTGGCTTTGCTGACTGCTATCTGCATGCCTTTGTGAATATGCATTAGCAAGAAGCACTTCAGCTTATAGATTTAGGAAGTAAACTTACACTTTAAAACTTTGATCTGTGTTCTAGACATTTACTGGAATTTTAACTAAAGAATAACTTTTCATATGGTCATGCACATATTTTATGGGCCTTGTTTGGGAAAGGAATGACTCCTAGGGGAGATTTCCATTGTAGTTAGGAAGCTAAGGAAGTGCTTCTGGCATCACGGTAGCTACAGGCCTGCCTTCGAGCCATCCTAAACAAGGGAAGGTGCTTTTAGATCAAAATGCCCCAAAGGCAGTGTTGACTTTTGATGAATTGTTTCTCTCGTGAGATCTTGTTTCCCTTTCTGCCTTCCTCATTGGCCAGTTTAAACATACGAGACGATAGTATTTTAAAATGTGAAAAGGGGGGAGTAATTGGTAGAAGACTAGATCAGTGGGCAAGGAAGTGAGTGCAGTCTTCAGACTAGGCACCAGCTGGAAGCTGACTGGGGGACACTGACAAAGTTGTCGAGTTTTCCCTATTCCAAATCCTAAATCTTTCTTGAATCTCTTCATTGTTATTTGCTCTTCCCTTGTTTCAAACTTCATCATTTCTCACCTGGACCATTCTTGCTCTCTAATGACTCTTTCCCCTCACTGTCACCAGATTGATCATTCTTAATATAAAATACAGTGGAAATTAAAATAAGTTTAAGTAAAGTAAAATAAAAAGTCATCTTCTTATTAAAAATCCTTTAGTGGCATTTTAGGATGAAATCCAAACTCCTTAGCCTGGTCGCCAAGGCCCTTCATGACTAGTCCCTATTGTAACCTTCCTTGTCTTGTCTTCCACTCTCTTCTCTTCTCATGGACCTCAAGATCCAGCCACTCTGGGCATTTAGACCTTCCTCTCCACACACATGAAGCCTTTTGCTTCTGTTGTCTTATTTATGTTGTTTCCTCTGCCTAGAGCACACTTTAGTTGACCTGACGGGCCTTGCCTCTTCGTTCTACATTCTCAGAAGTCATCCTCC